AAAAAATTAGCTTTTTAGCAGCAAACACTCAAGATGGGTTTGGTGAACACCGGGATAAAAAGTACCCCATATGTGTACAATGAAATATACTGCTGTATTTTTGATGTTGTGGGCCTATATTTCTGCTGGAGGTCCTGGACATCTTGTTTAGACACATGACATCATGGATTCTATCAAATACCAACAGATAAAAAATCTGTGACTGACTCTGTTAGAAATCTTATAATGGATTATTTCATAATGATATTTCCCCCCATTTTAAATTCTTATTATCCAATGAAAGGTTAGATTTTTGTGAATTGTTTTAATAAAAGATCAAAAGGATTAACAATGCAGATTAATTTTCACAGCCTTCTTTGATCATATTTACCAAGGGTGCTGATATTTTTGGCCATGACTGTATATATTTCCAACTATCTCTATATATCCACCTATACATGTCTATCCATCCATCTCTCTATCCATCATGTCTCTCTCTAGCCATCCATCCATCTATATCCATCTTTATCTGTCCATCTATATCCAACTACCTATATCTATATCGAACTACATCTATCTATCCATCCATCTCCTTATCTAGCCATCTATTTATATCCATCTTTATCGGTTTATCTATATCCATATCCAACTATCTCTATCTACATATCTATCTATCTGCATGTATCTTTATAAATGTCTCTCTATCTAGATATATATATATAGATACATCTCTCTCTCTCTCTTTATCCATCTCTCTATCTATCTATAGAGTAGTGACATTATTCAAGTAGGCTAACTAATTTCATCTTTGTGGACTGCGAGGTGCTGGTACACAGTGAAATGCCTCAACACCCAAAAACAAGACCTGCAATTAAGACAAACACCCAGAGAAAATGTGAAGGCTTGAAATACAGCCATAAAAGTAGAGCAGTCTCTCGCCAATCTCATAAACTACAGAGAGCTTAACAGCTCTAACATATTTTCACATGCCTTTAAATCAGTTTACACCATCAAGGCCAGTGAAAATGATTTAAATGGCCTGAGCTTTTTAAGTTTTGTATTAAAATAGTAAATGTTTTATTGGGTGAATCCCACAAAACATGTCAAGAACATGCCCGGGTTATATTTCACCGCAAAATCAAAAGAAAAAAAAGTCAGCAAAATAAATAAATAAATAACTAAGTGGGAAATTTTTTAAATAATTATATATATACACTTTCTTTTCCTTTCGACTCTGGGGTGAAACATATGTTGGACATGTTTTCGTGAAATTCACCTTATTACAACCTGCTGTCATTTCCTCTAGGTGTGTAGCTGTAGCACAGTCAGCACAGCAAGCAGTGTGGGAGAGCCAGGCAAGTTGGCAGCGCTGGGCCTTAACTTACCTTTTCTCTACACCCGAGCGACTGTTCTGACCATGAGCTCAGTATTCACAGGAAAACAGAAAAACAAGACAGAAAATATCCAACTCACCTCCTGCAGCGCCCCCTGCCAGCCCGGCGCTGGAGAAACTGCTGAGCGCCGAATGTCCGTTGACCAACCGAGGGGCTCCGCTGGTGGTTGGTCCAGGTGTCTGAGCTCCAAATAAGGACTGGAGAACTGAAGCCCCACCCAGGGGGAAGTACTGTCCCACTGAGGCGGCGGAGGGAACTGTGGAGGCCCCACCCACTTTCCCGCTCAAGATGCCTCCACTGGCCGCAGCGGTTATAAAGAGGTTCTGGCTGGCCAGTCCACTTATAGATTTCAGGTCCCACTCCCGTGATTTCTGTTTCTGCAGCGGCCGCTCCAACGTGTTGACGACCGAGCGACCACTGCCATCCTGACTGAGGAAGAGGTTTGAGTTCCCGTAAGGCTCACGCTCACGTTCTCCTCTCCTCTGCGGTTTCTGGTCCGAGTCGGAGTCCGTACCGCATCGGGAAGCCCCCACACCAAATGGCGAGCCACCCTGGCGGCTATCCGGAGGAGTTGGCTTGGGGTCAGAGATTGGGGAGAAGGTGGATTTCCACTTGCTGGTTCCGGAGGAAGATGATACCTCACTGCTCACGCTACTGGCACCTGATTTACGTCCTTGCAAGCCTGTAAAATGCCACGTTCCATGACAAATAGCTAGTGGAGTCAGAACGTGAAATGTCCATAAGCCAAAATCCACCGCACTTACCCCTTTCCACATCTCTGATAGGTCCGTCTCGATCTAAGGAAATGGTGGCGATTTTCAGTTCAATTCTGAAAGAGAAAACAGTCAATCCACCAAAACAATCAACCATATTTTCGATGATCTGCAAAGTTTAAACACCAATGAACTGGATTTGAAAGAAAAGAGCTACTACCGGCTTGAACTAGAGGTGTCCGGGCCATAATTGGTGCCCTCTTCATCTGAACTAGGGGTGGAGGAATAACGACCTGTGTTGTTGAGCTCCAGGGGACGCTCTCTTTTAAGCACGGGAGGCTGATCTAGATCTGTCCCGCACGGGCTTCGTCCTGACTGCTCCGGGGAAGAGATGGCGGAGATCTCCAAAGGCTGGTTTATGTTGTTCACCTGGTTAATGAACAAACATTTTGGGTCTGATTTCAGGCCAATCGTAAGTTTAAGCAATACTAACAGCCGCCATTTTTAGTCTGCTCACCATTGAATTAATATTGAGCGGTGATCCAGAAGAATGGCTTGAGCAGCCAAGTCCCGGAAATGCCCTTCTTTTGGGGGATCCACTAATGGGAACGGCCCCAGATGAGCTGCGCTTCCGCCGCCCTCGTTTCCGCCCCTCTTGGCTGTGGGAGCTCGGAGAGTGATGATGATGGTGGTGGTGGTGATGATGGTGCTTACTGTGATTATGGTGACCCTGCTTTACCGACCCGTGGTGGAGCCTTGAGCCTCCCGTGGAGGACGAAGATGAGGAAGAAGAAGAGGATGAAGAGAAAAAGATACGCCGACGAGCCTCGCTGTCCAAGGGCTCAGTGTCGGATTCGGGGCCCTGGCGATCATGGCCGTCCTCGGGGGGAAGCCTCGGTGGGCCATCGGCATACTGCAGCACGCCTCCAGTGCCCAGCGCAGGACTGAGGCCAGAGCCGCGAGGCTGGAGGCCCATGATGGGAGTGCTGTAAGGGGGAGGGGATGCAGCGTCACAGTCTTGGTCCTCGGTCAGCATGGCGGAGTGAGAGCCATTCACCAATCCTGAGCTGGAGGAGTACCCTAAGAGGAAGCGGATTTTGGATTTAGTATAGTACTCAAGTATGTAAACAACATGGATGGATGATGTTAGATTAGATTAGAGGTTCTCAACTCTTTCTGGCTCAAAGGCCCCCCAATGTCTACAACAATATGCAAAAGTTTTTTAACGTATGGACACTGGCTGGTTCTGTGAATTACATTTCAGAATTCCAGATGTTTTAAGAGTGGATGGTTCTTTTTTTTAACCAATGAATTTATAAGCCTTTTCCTTTTGCTCACAATTTTTACCTGATAAAAAAACCGACACTTTTCAGGATTTTTGAAAAGGCTTGATTAAATTGTGGTCACTTTTAAACAGAATTATTTATTTCTAAAAAGGAACAATAATAATTTTATTAACATGCATTTAGAAAAGAAATAGCTTCATCTACGACAAACAAAGCAGGCCAAAGTAGGACTGTACCGGAGGTAGGCGTGAGAGGTGGCTTGCCGTTGCTCTGTCCTGCAGGATTCGAAACTGGACTAGGAGTGCTCCTCTGCCAAAAGAAAAGCACAACTTGAATAATTGCAGAAAACACCCACAAGACTGTATACCATGACTGCTGCTCACACAGATTCGTACCAGTCTTTCTGCACGGTTTGGCAGCACCACGCTGGCCAGTGGGATGCTGACAGGAAGTTTGCTTGGATGCACAGTGCTGAGGGGGATGCTGATTGGTAGACTAGTTATAGTGTCGCCGGAGGCAGTCGGGCTCTTTTCCTTATCTGTGCTCTTGGGTGTGGTGGTTGCTAGAATATCAGTTGAACTGGGTGAGGAGTAAGACTGTTTTAATCCCAGAGTTGGAGATGAAACAGCCCCAGTGTCGCCCCTGAAAAGAGCCGTGAGTGATCAGTGACCAATCAACAAGCACTTAGTCAACTAAATGTGTTAATTTTACTCACCGGTGGATGTTGCCAATGGCTCTAAACTGATTGGCAGCCGAATCTTGGTTGAGGTGCCTGCGGAGGGCGATCTTGGCAGGAGAAAAACGGGTGTAGTCAGGCAGGGGTTGCCCTAGCTGCCTGGTTCTTGAGTCTGGGGTGGGCGGCACAATTTCGTGGTCAGGGGATATGAGCAGGTAGCGGGTGAGGAGCTCGTTTTTGCCCATTCCGCTGCCACTGCCTCTCTCGTAACCCATCGAGGCTGTGCCATTGATGGATAGCTCAGGGCTGAAGCCGTTGAGCCCCACAGAAGTTTGTGGGTTGAGTTTGGGGGTGTCGGAATCCAGTGTGGGCCGGGGCTCTGGGCCAGGGAGGGCCTTTTGGTAGGGAGACTCCTCACACGGGTTGTAAGACTTCAGCTGCAGGAGCTCTTGCTGCCTCTGGCTCTTCTCTAGTTCAACGATACTGATCTGCAAAGAAACACCAGGGGGAGCCGTTGATGTAAACATAGACAGAGCCAACCCACACTGCTCAAGGTAAAAATATCCCTGTAGGAGCTGGTTCAGTTTTCTGTAATCAAGATTTTGTCAGAACATTTACAAACAATGAGAAGAAAAATAAAAGAAAGAAAGGGGGGAAAACTACTTAAAATAATCTATAACACTTAACTTTTTTAAAAATACCTGATAAACCTGAAAATAATTCAAATAAAACAATTACATAAATATACATAAATAATTTGTTTTATTATTAATTTATGAATACTACTATCATTAATAATTACATTGTATATAAAATACACATTTTGCTGGGATGCAGGCTGTACATTTATTAACTATAAATAACATTTATAATATATCAACAGATCTGAGTTTTTTAAAGTGCAATTGAAATAACTGAAATCTACTTAAATCTAAGAAACAAAAATGATTAACTGTGATTATTAAGTAATATGTTTATAATACAGTATAAACAGATCTGGATTAAAAAACAACTGACCCATACAACAACAATAACTGAAATCTACTTAGTCAAGGTTATTTGCTAATATGGACACATGTACAGATTTTTTAAAAGCTTTTTTAACCAATCCGACGTATAATTGGTTATAAAATGATAAGTACACATGCAAGATTATTTCCAACTATGACAGAGTTACAACAACAAAAAATCTGTGCGGCTGTCATCCTAGTGCATCTTGGTAGGGTTTACCTTCTGTTATTAGTAGTGGAGAAACAAGAAATTATTAAAGGCCAGGATTAGCATGCCACAGAATCAGATGTAAAACAAGTCTGCAATGCCATATTAGCTTTGAGCTGAATGTGCATGCAAGTACCTGGAGCTCCAGACAGTGGCGCTGTTTCTCTGAGATCTGTCTTCGCAGAGCCGCTTTCTCTTTCAAAAGAGTCTCCAAACACAGAGATCCCCAGTCCAGCTTGAGCTCCTCACACCGAGCCTTCAGCTGACAAACACACAAACATATGTGCAATGGGCATTCAGTTCCCCTTCTGCCAAACAAACCTTTCCTTTCTGAATCATAAGTATCCTTCTGCTCTGTTGAGGCAGGCTATGACGGTTTATTGTGGATCACTTACCAGCACCAGACTCTGATCTCGGAGCTCCGCCATGTCCCTCTCCAGCTGTTTGGTCTGCTCCCTCAGCTGTATGTTGTGGGCTGTGATCTCCTTCTGAGCTTGTACTAGGTCCTCCACAGTCACCGCCTTCAAGCCCAGCTGTAAGAGAGGCAGCAGTGGGTTTACATTCAGCACCGATGCCTACATATCACTGATCTGAAAGTGTTGTCTAGGTAGCTCACTAGGTTGTGAAACAAGTCTTACCTCCTCCAGTTTGGACTGGAAAAGGTCTCTGATCCTCTCCTTATGAGCATGACAAGCGTTGAGCAGCTGCTGTGCTTGACCGGACAGTTCTGTGTGTCTCAGCTGTCACAAAAAACAGGGGGAGAGAAAAGTTAAACAATAATGTTATGACAAAACCAATAAAATGTTGCTAATTACTTAAGTTACAATATATTTTACATTTATATTTATAAAATGAAAATTTACAAATAAAAAAAGACGATTTAAAAATGTTTAGTTTTTCTTTTTATTAGTTATATATATTAAATATTATATATGATAAAGTAAAATACAATTTTTTTTATTTATAAATAAAAATTATTATATATTTAAATATATACAAATTTAAATATAAAAATATAAACAAAATTTAAACTAAATACACAATTTTTCACAATAATTTATAAATCATATATTTA